GGCAGAGAGAGAGAGAGAGAGAGAGAGAGAGAGAGAGAGAGAGAGAGAGAGAGAGAGAGAGAGAGACATTGATATGAGAGAAAACATCCATCAGTTGCCTTCCATATGTGCATAATACCATGGTTGGGGTGGCTTATAAACAACAAATTTTTTTGTGCCCAGTTCTGAAGGCTGGAAGTTCAAGATCAGGGTGTCAGTCCCTCTTCCGGGTTATAGACTTCTCACTGTGTCTTCTTATAGTAGAAGGGGCCAGTCTTATAATAGGTCATCTATACATTGATGGCTCTAGCCCACATCCTCTATAGATGACTCCAACCTATATCATCTATACACTGATGGCTCCAGCCCATATTCTCTGTATTCTGATGTATCTAACTTACCTCTTGCCCCTCAGGCCTTCATTTATATATCTGCCTGCTTTCTCAGCATCCCAAATTGGGCATCTAAGAGCCTCCCACACCTCACCTTTAAAACTCAACTCCTGCTCTGGCCAGCATGGCTCAGTTGATTGGAGCATCCTCCTGTACACCGGAGGGTGGTGGGTTCAATTCCAGGTCAGGGCACATGCCCAGGTTGCAGGTTCAATTCCCCGTCAGGGCTTGTGTGGGGGCCAATTTTTCTCTCAAATCAGTAAATCTCAATCAATAAAGATCAATGTTCCCCCCCTCTCAAATATATATATATATATATATATATATATATATATATATATATATATATATATATATATATATATTGTATATATAATAAAACTCAACTCCTGGGTGTTCCTCAGGCCTATTTCTGCAGTTTTCCTGATCTCATTTTTTTAATTGCCAAAAACCTTTGAGACACTCTTAACTCCTTTCTCTCACACTCCATCTCCAACCCATCAGCAAATCCTGTGATTCCTCCAGGATTTATCCAGAATCTAGCCCTCCACTGCTGTCTCCCAGGACAGGCCATGTCTCTCATCCAGATTATCACATTAATCTCCTAACTGCTCTCTCTGCTTTCACCCCTTTTCTGTTCTCTACTGGCAGCCAGAGGGACCTGGTTAAAATGCAAGTCAAATCTGATCATTCTTGATCTCAAACCCTGTGATCCCTTTGATTTCACTATAAGCAAAAGCCACATCTCAAATGATAGTATAGTCTGCATGGATTATGTCTTCTCCTTGTCTCCTGGTTTACTCAGCTTTAGTCACTAGCCAGGCATAGTCCTACCTCAGGGCCTTTACACTGGCTATTCCCTCCACTGCAGTGTTGTTCCCTCCACTGGAACACTCTCTCTAAGCTCTGCTCTTCAGTTTCTTCATCTCTTTAATGAATCTTCTCAGGGAGGACTGTGTAATACAACCCTTTAAAAATTGTAATCCAATCCCACCCCATATCAGCACTCTATATCCCTGCTCCATTTTTCTCTTTGGCACCTATTACCACCTGACATGCTATTTATTTTTCTTATTTATTTTGTTAACTGTAACTACCACCACTCCACCCCACCTGCTCATTATCCACTAGAATATAAGCTCCATTAGGGAAGGAATTGTATCTGTTTTGATTACTGGCCAATGCCTGGCTCATGGCATGCTAAACAGTCAATAATTTTTTTTTAATTTAGATCAATGAATAATGCAAGTAAGAGCCCCCCCTTGTCAATCTTCTCAGAGATGGAGTTTGGGGTCTTCACAGCTGCATGTCAGAGCCTCCCTTCAGATAGGGAGTCCAGGCAGAATCATAAGTGGCCCTAGGGCTTTGTCCAAGCAGTGACTTCCATGGTTCTAGCTGCTGGTGGTCTCACCTCCAGGCCTAGAGACATGTCACCTTCCATGTTACCGCTTCTCCATTGGTTAGTGGCCCTGGTCTAGCTTCAAATTTCTCATGTCCCTGGAGCCCAGGTTTAGATTCTAACAACATGGTATTCACTCTCTTCTCCTCAGGAAGACATGCGGATTCCCTCCTGTTTATTTAAGATCACCTCTCAGAGGCTATCTTAAGAAAACAAAGTCTCTGTGCACCTATTGTATCTATCTTAAAGGCCATGTTTTGTCACATGCTTTTATCATATAAGATGTGGATCCCTTGTGGCTATAGCCATATGTTTCCCATTCTATTGCTCTGACTCCCAGAATAAGACCAACCACTTAGAACTCTATGCTCCCCTTGTAAGATGGGGTACTGCTTGCTCCCTGTGCCAGTTCCAAAGCCACAGAGAACCCAGGCTCAGCCTGCATTTGCTCTGGACAGAGCCAAGGCTATGTGCTTTCAGTTTAAGGTGTGTGTGTGTGTGTGTGTGTGTGTGTGTGTGTGTGTGTGTGTGGTGTGTATGTATGTGTTTCCTGTGGGCCAAGATTGGCCAATGCTAGGGACCTCCCTGTCACCTCTTTCCACCTCTTTCTGGGGCTGTGTCCTCCTGCCATCTGGGGGCCTCTGGTGTGGCTTGGCTTCCTCCTCTAAAAGTCCTTCCCTCCCTGAGTGGGGCAGGAAGAGCAGCAGGCTAAGGGACTCCAGATGCTGTAAGTTCCTTCCGGCAAAGTCCCAGGAGGCCTTTTTAATGCTGAGTCAAAGATTCAGTTTGCACCTATTTTGTATGTACTTGACGTCTGCTAACGTCTTTATAAATTAGGAGCTATTTCTCTTACATTCTTAATTCAAATAGTTTAATCCTCAGGTTTAGTTTGTCTAATTACAGCCCCTGTGGGGCTATGAACTATCCTACACTGTTTGATGGATGTTGAATTCTTTCTTCTTGTAGAAAAAGGCACTTTCTCCTCTGGCACTAGGAAAGACTGAAGAAGTCCCTCCTGTGATGCTAATGGAGGCAAAGTTGGTCCTTCTCGGGTTTTATTATTTCAGAACAAATATGGTAAACTGTTTTCTCCTCGGTTACTATAGAGATTATTTGCCTTTCTCTTAGGGCTTCTGAAAATAATAGATTACATATTTGGGAGGGTTTTTTTTTTAGATCTGGTTAATGTGAGATAGAGAGGATTGCTCCTGGGATGACATTGTTTGGTTTGGGAAGTATTCTCCCGGTTGCCCAGCAACAGGCTCTTGGAGACGGGAGTGGACTGCGTTGTCCCTGGCAACCGTTGTTACTCAGCAAACAATGAAGGCCGGCAAGCAGCCCAAGCAGCGCCAGGACTGCAGACTCCTGGGCTTTAATTGAACATCTGCATGTATTTTTCTATGATGAAATTATGTTTGTATTTGATCTGCCATGACAGGTAGAGCTGAGTCCACCTGGGGTCTACTTAGAAGAAAGTATATTGTCATGCTGACATCTTACCCTGTATATAAACTGAGAAGAGATGTTGGGGGAAAAAACTTTTAGCCATTTGACTCTGTCCTAGCCTGCTCTCAGATGGAGACATTTCAGTCTTCAGTGGGATTTCTTTTTTTGATCTACTTCCTTGTGTTCATAAAATCACTACCCGACCAACCTACTACCGTAGGTCCCTGGAGAGCAGCCACTTCTGGAGCCCTCTTCAGCATGATGCTTTCATTCTTGCTGCCCAAGAATATTAGAAAGGCAGGAGTTGAACCCTGATTGCTCACACATAAAGACATTCAGATGTAAGGCTGGCCGGTGATGGAAACTGAACTCAGAACTTTCTGGTTCATCAATATTCCTCTGAAGAAGTTGTTGACCCTCAGGGGAATCTGTATATTATATTAGGGGAAGCAGGTGTATTCCCACTAATAGGGGACTGGAAAACTCTCACCCTGTTAGTGGGCACTGCCAGCCACATGGTGGGTTTGATCATAATAGTGTCACTCCCCCACCTCCTCTTGGGCGCCAGAGATAGCGTTTGTTTACCAGGGCTGGTTGCTTAGGTAAACACTGCCCCTGAACTTCATTCAAAGCCGGTGACACATTTCTTTCCCTCCTCTCAGCACCGCCCCCTCCCCTGCCCACCAATTAAGGCTATAAATTGAGAAATGTTAGGCAGTGCAGGTTTTTGGTGGGGACTTGATCTTACCTTATTCGCCTGGAGTGCAATCTGTCTGACTAACGCAGCAACAGCCGCAAAAGTGACGCCCATATCAGAACACTGCAGCCTGTGGTCAGTAAATCAGCCCTTCTGTGAGACTTGCTTTAGTAATATGGATGTTCCTCTTTTTTTTTTTTAAGGGCATTTCACTCTGTAGCTTCAAGAAAATGCTCATTGCACTCCGTGCCAGCATTCCAGCTAACATCTTAGGATGATTTAAAGTATCTGAACAAGTTTCCCAACTGTCTTTGACAGCTGAAATTTATAATGGGGTGTCATTTGTGTACTAGAACAGGCAAAAGCAAGCTGGGGGTGGGGGGGAAGCAAATAAGCAAGTTCTTAAGCCACCAGCCCTGTTAGATGCAGAAATTAAGATCTAATTACAGCAAGTGTTGCTGGAATCAATATGAATTCTGACGCCCCAGAGGGTTCTTTTGAATCCACAGTCCTGCCTGCAGCCTGTTGCAGAGGGTAGTTGTAAAATCCTTCTAATAGAAATGCTACCCTGCATTCCGTAAAACTATTTCTCACCCAGTCCCAAATGATTTGTGGGCAAGTCATTTTTGAGGAATTATTTCCTCATTTTTAAATGTTCTTTTAAATGAATTATTTTTTAAAATTTCCCATGAAAATACTTTACCCCACATCAGGCTTTGTAGCTTGGGCCAACCGCTTAACCATCATTGGGTAAATCCTCTACCCGTTGGGTAAGAGCTGGGCTGGGTGATTTCTAAGAGCCGACCCAGGACTCTGATTTAAAGAAGTTCTTGATTCTTAGCAAGGCCATATCTCTGCTTTTTACATTTCAGAGTAAAGTGATGACAGAAGGGGAAGTAGGAGGTAAATTGGAAAGGTCCGTATACAATGTTGGTGGGACGAAAGAAGTCAGCCTCTTCTTTGCCTGAATCAGTCATGGAGGTACTGCCCATTGCCCATGGTCATTGCTTGTCTCTATGGGTGGGGTGGGGATCAGGACAGAGACCCCTATTCCAGGTGTTTATCAGGCTCAGAACCCAGGAGAGACTGTCCCTTTCCCTGCCTTGCTTCTCCACCCTTGGGCTGTCTGGGCTGCTCTGAAGACTTGGGAGGTGGAATAGGAGGGGACAAGTTAAGACAGCCTCCTGACTGTCCACATTTTCAATGGCCTCACACATTCCCCGCCTACTGGAGAGTGTGCAGAAGAGAGGGAAAAAGATAGAAACCTGGGTGCAAGTGAGAGGGAAAGAAAGGCTGCTAAGAGGATGAGGTATAATCCGAAAGCAGGACACTGATGAGATTGCACCCAAAACCTGGAGCTGGGGACACATAACTGGCCAAAGGTGGAGGCCAGTGTTCAGCCTGTGTGGACAGTGTTGGTGGGCAGCCCTGAGCAGCAGCTACCTCATGTCCCCGTTCACTTCAAAATATTTCTGGAGGATCATTATGGGGAACATGCTAGAGGGACCAGGAGTGAGGAGAGGGGTTGGGAGGTGGTCACAGGGCAACTAAGACCTAGACTTGGTTTTCTCAGGGAGGCCTAGTTGGTCCCAAAGCCAAACGTGTGAACAACTGTGTGATAGGAAGCTGAACCAAGAACGCAGAGCAAGAAGAATGGTTTGGCTAATTGGAAATTCCATGTGTAATTAGGCCATGGCCTTGAACCAGCCGTTCTCAGTGGGGGTGATCCTGCCCCCCAGGGGACACTGTTGGGTGATATATGAAGACTTTTGTTGCTATGACTGAGGGAGAGAAGGTGCTCTTGGCATCGAGTAGTTGGGGGCCAGGGATGCTGCTCCTCATACTAGTGCCCAGGATAGCCCCACAAAGATTGATCTGGCCCCGAAGTCTGTATTGTCCATGCTGAGAAATGCTGGTTTAGAACCAGGCTTCTCAAACTTTTCTGTGATTCAGGTCTCCTGAGAATTGTGTTAAATCAGGTTAGAATGTATGAACAGTCCCAGAAAAAGCAGAGCCTCTCAGCCACGGCTGACTTTGCCCCCAGGGATATCGGGTGATGTCTCAAGACATCTGTGCTTGTCACAGCTGGGTGGCGGGCATCCTGGCATCAAGTGGTAGAGACCAGGGATGCTGCTCAGCTCCCCAAAGTGCCCAGGATGGCCCTACAACTGAGAATGACCCCGCCCAATGTCCATAGTGCTGAGGTCAGGAAACCTGCACTGGGCAGTGAGGTAATTTGAGGGAGGGCTTCTACTCATGCTCACTGCCATGTTTTGGTCCACTTTGAAACCATTGGTGGTTTTTCCTGTTCCCTCCCCCTCCCCACCATATCAACTGAGCAGCCCTTCTAAGCTGTAACAAGCAGGTAGACTTCGAGGGACAGAGTGCTCCCCAGCCTGGCGTTGGCCCTGCTCCATCAGGTCACATCAGTTCCATCCTAGCAGGTACCATTATGGCTGTGATACTGGGAGGGACACCTGTCCAGCCTTTAGTGGTCCTCCATGCCAGAATGACTGCCACCCACCTTGTCTCTCCAGCTCTGGACCACACTGGCCTCAATTCTGCAAAGACTTTGACTTGCAGATAGAAGCAGCACTGTGCAGTGGCCCACTCTCGGGTCCCGCAGGCCTCAGTCAGAAACCAGGTTTGTATAGCTCATTCAATGAGTCCTGCCAGTCCATTCAGAGCTCCAGTGACATATGGAGCTCTTCAAGCAAAACACCAAGCTCCTGTTATTGTTTTGAGTTCTCTTTGCCAGAGGGTTGAGGAGCAGTTTATCTGGGAAGGAAACGGGGCTCTGCCTAGTACAGACAGCAGGAAACTCGGGGGTCTTTACAAGCTTGTGCCTCCTGTTAAAGGATAAGTCCTGGTGCAAATCCAGCTCTGCCTCTTCATGCTGTATATAAGGCCTTTGGCTCATTGCCAGACCTCTCTGAGCCTCAGTCTGTTTGTTGTTTCTAAAATGAGGGTGATAATGGAATAGCTTCCTCCGTACTAAGCAGGAACACATTTGTAATGCACTTAACCCAGAGTCTGGCACACAAACAATGCTGAGGTGATTGCTGCCACCACTGTCACTGTGATTGTCCTTGCGGTCTTTGGCCCTTCCTTTTTACTTGGTTGAACAGATTACATAGGGTTAGAGGTGCAGATTATCCACCCACAGTCCAAACCCACATAAAACTGACTTCACTGAAACTTAACTACTAATATCCTCCTATGGACTATGAGCTCTGACCAATAACATAAACCATGGAGTAACACATATTTCCCAAGCCAGCGATTTTAACCTTTTTATTTCATAGTACACATAAACTAATTACTAAAATTCTGTGGCACACCAAAAATATATATATTTTTGCTGAACTAAAAATAGTTATAAGTTTTGACAAAAACAAAATAGATATAACCCTGGCCGGCATGCTCAGTGATTAGAGCACTAGCCTGCATACAGAGGGTCTCATTCATTTCCCTGTCAAGGGCACATACCTGGGTTGCAGGATGATCCCTGCCCTGGTCCAGGTGTGTGCAGGAGGCAATCAACTAATGTGTGTCTCTCACATCAATGTTTTTTTCTCCTCTCTCGCGCTCGTGCGCTCGCGCACTCGCTCGCTCTCTCTCTCTCTCTCTCTCTCTCTCTCTCTCTCTCTCTCTCTCCTTTCCTTCCTCCTTCCCCCTACCTTTTTCAAACTTAAAAAAAAACATTAATAGGAAAAATATATTGCTTACTCCTTGGGTGAAACATTTTTTAAAGGTATAATTTTTATTCACTCATACCAGACAGCTATTACTGTGATGGCTGTTGTCATTTATTTTATTTGACAATCTAAGGAAAAAGAGGTCAGTGTCCTGATAATAAAGTGAGCTAGAGAAAATAAAAATGTTATTAAGAAAATCATACAGCCCAGCCAGTGTAACTCAATGGTTGAGCATCCATCTATGAATCAGGAGGTCACAGTTTGAGTCCTAGTCAGGGCACATGCCCAATGTGGGGCATGCAGAAGGCAGCCAATCAATGATTCTCTCTCATCATTGATGTTTCCATCTCTCTCTTCCTCTTCCTTCTTCTCTGAAATTAATAATGAAAAAATTTTAAAAGAAAACCCATACAGGTCATCTGACAAGACAAGTTCAAATTGTCACAAACCTCCAAAAAAATTTCCCAATGTATTTATTGGAAAAATAAATTCACATATGAGAAGATCCACACAGTTCAAACCATGTTGTTCAGGGGTCAACTATATTTATTTATGGCTGGGATTCAGACTTGAGGTGGCAGATCCACACTAATTACTGGACTAAAAATAGGTATAAGTTTTGACAAAAAACAAAATAGATATAACCCTGGCCAGCATGCTCAGTGGTTAGAGCACTAGCCTGCACACAGAGCGTCTCATACCTGGATTGCAGGATGATCCCTGCCCTGGCTTAATTACACATGGAATTATATCATTCCACTTCATCCTCCCCACCCATTTTGCAGATGAAGAAACTGAGGCCACAGCAAATGACGGAGCTGAGATTTGAAGTTGGTTGAGTCCAAAGTCCATGCTGCCCTCATCCCCTCCCAGCTGGACACTCACCTCAGCATGTGTTCAGAAGTTGAGTTTTTTATTTAGGCTATTAAGTCTCTTTCCTAATGGAACTAAGATCCAGGGGCAGGTTGGGAAGAGAAACAGGTGCTTCTTTTGAAGCACTCCACAGAGAAGGGCTCTCAGGCTGGCTGGACATTGGCAGTCTTTGGGTCAGAAGGTCTGGCTCACCCAGAGTAAATGTGTCCTGTGATGTGATGAGCACGCCTGAATCATCTAGCACATGGAACTCAACCTCCCCAAGAGCTAAAGACCCTTTACCTGAGAATGTCTCGTACCCCATCTTGGTAGTAGTTCTTGATTTGGAATATGCATCCACTTTGGAGGCAGATCCAGACTTCCAGGTGTGCAATGAGGAGGTAGGGACTGTACTAGTTCCCTGAGGGGTAGTACCCGACAGAGACAGCAGGTCAGGGTCACCAGATAGATGTGGCCTCAAGGCCGAAGGAGACACTCAGTGACTTACAGCACAGTGGCTGAGTAAATGCAGAAGTGGCACGTTTAGGGGAAATAAGTTCCCTTTTGGATTTGTTGTGGCACCTTAGGGACTCCCAGGTCTGGAAGGCAACTGGAAATAGAACCTGGAGTTGGGCAAATGGGTGGTGTTAAAAGTTGTGGTGATGGAGTTGGGGGAGGGGAGGACCTTGTGGGGCAAAGAAGGGTCAGGGCAGTGGGCTGAGAAAGGACCCTCAGAGAAAAGAAGAGACCAAAAAGAAGAGCACAGAACCCAAAGAGCAATACCAAACATTACAGAGAGGTCAAGTTCAGATGAATCTGGAAACTGGCCACTAAGACCTTGGTTGGGGAGAACTGTGGAGCTGTTGTGAGAACACAGATGGAAGAACATGAGAGGAGGCAAAGATGCCAAACAACACAGACTCCCCAGACCTAAGCCATCAAAGGAACTGGGATCATGGTGGCGATAGACATGACTCTAAGATGGCATGATGGGACGTGCTGTGAGCTACAAGATTGGGACCTGAGCAGAGGGCAGAGGGCAGCCTGGTCAGCAGGTCCTCTGAGGAGACCGAGGCTCTGGGACACATGCTCACACCTGGATAAGAGATTTGGAGAGAACCAGAGAGTAATAGGCTCTGCCAGTCTGTCCTGTAATAGGCACTCCTCTCTGCTGTTGCAGCAGGAAAACCACCATGGGCAGTGAATGATGGAAGGAAGAGAGGAGTAGAAATGTTGGGGTTAGGATCTGGGTCAGTGGAGGGACCTGGGCTGAGAGGAAGGGGAAAAGGGTACGTGGTATTGTGTAGTGGGGTGTAGGCTGAGAGGTAAGGGAGGACAGGCTGTGTCAGAAAGTGGGTGATAGGGGCTTATAATTTGAGGAAGTTATCTGTGGAGCAAAACCTGTACACTGAGATTTTTCTCCCATAGGCACATGTGCAAATGTGTAAACATAGATGTGTCACCCTTTTTACGGTAAGAATCATTGATTTTTTTTTTTCCTATTGGGACTAGTCAACATTCAATTTAATAGAAAAATGTCCATAGTAAGAACATGGTAACAGGTTGTCTAAGTGGTTTGGGCCATTTTTCTTGCATTAGCCTGTGCTGTACGT